AGAAAAGAGGCTGGGTATGGTGGCTCACACCTGCAATACCAGCACTTTAGGAGGCTGAGGCATGTGGATCACTTGAGCCCAGAAGTTCCAGAGCAGGCTGGGCAACATAGCAAAACCCCGCCATTACAAGAAATTTAAAAATCACCCAGGCATGATGGTGGATGCCCGCAGTCCCAGATACTCGGGAGACTGGGGCAGGAGGATCACTGGAACCCAGGAGGCTGATGCTGCAGTGAGCTCTAATTGTACCAGTGCAACCCAGGCTGGACCACAGAGTGATTGTGTCTCAGAAAAAATAATAATGATAAAAATAAAAATGAAATGAGCAGTCGTATGTAGGACGGACTGAGGTGGGGTTAGTGCTGGCAAGGGACGAAAGCAACATTGGAGAGAGAGAGAAAACACAGAAGCGCTGCAGCGTGAACTGCCAAGTTCAAGGGCTATGTGCATTTTCAGTGGCTTCTGTTTCTTCTGGTGTCTGCATTGGGGGCACCAGGGAAGTCTTTCTCTGTCACTTGCCTCATGGTGTTGTTGCCATAGCAGCCGATGTCCCCGATGCCAAGGTCGTCGGCCATCAGAAGAAGAATGTTCGGCTGGGAGGCGGAAACGTCACTGGAAGCTGAAGGCGCCAAACTTAGCAGCACGCCGAGCATCCCAGCTAGCCAGCCCCTGAAGCACAAGCTGTCAGAGACTGCGTCACGTGCCTGTCCACCTCACTTGCAACTCGTGTATGAGGGAAGTTGGCCTCGCTATTTTAAGGGGTATAGATATTATCATCACATTTCAGACTAGCTTTCAGGAAATCTCTTAGGCATTTGATTGTTTTTCTCTGGTTACAGTTAACTGATACTGTTGATGGTTTTATTTGGCCTTTAAGTATTTTCTTTTGGAAGCTCTAAAGTCTGTTGTTAAATGATTAAACTCCTGATTAACAGGAAGCCTTCGTCGAGTGCAGTGGCTCATGCCTGTAATCTCAGTACTTTCTGAGGCCATAGCTGGTGGATTGCTTTAGTTCAAGAATTCAAGACCAGCCTGCACAACATGGTGAAAACTCATCCCAAATTAGCTGGGCATGGTGGCACGTGCCTGTAGTCCCAACTACTGGGAAGGCTGAGGAGGAAGGATCGCTTGAGCCTGGGAGGTTGAGGCTGCAGCGAGCTGAGATCGTGCCACTGCACTGCAACAGAGCAAGGCTGTCTCAAAACAATAACAGCAACAATAAAAAGCAAAAACACACAGAAAACCTGCCTAGTCATGGTTTCCTGGATGGATCGAGTCCCCAGAACAGCTATTGCCCCTTCTCCTTCATTGTTCTTCCTTAAGCAAACTGTGTTGAATTTACGAACTGGGGCTGGGGTTAGGGGTTGGACCACCCAGCAGAGCAAGGAAGAG